ATCATGGTGTCTTCCCAAATTTGTAGCGAATCAGCTGTCCACTAGTGGGTTTATTTACGTGAGATTCACAAAATGAACAATTTGATGACTGAGGTTAAAGGCACACTATTATAAGGTAGCTAAAAGAAAAGAGGGGAAGCTGTTATTGTTATTCTCGCTTCATTGAGGTATCATGCAGGACTGAAAAGTCTTTTGCTTGTTTTGAATTTTTTCCTCTTCAGAGAGAAAGAGAATCATAATTTTGTTCTTTGTCGTTCACATTAGAAATTCACGGCTTGCCTTTCATAATGGTTGCAAAGACTGAGTTGGTAAGACTATACTGTAGATGCCATTCTGGTAAACTCAGATTGAGGGGAATGTTACTTTTGTTCAAATGCAGGTAGGGGAGGGAAGTAACCTACTGAAGGAATATCTATTAACATAAATGAATAAACATTTTGGAGTACAGGTTCTTGAGGGTCCAACATCCTTCTCCTTCAGACAATGGTTGAGAGAGTTCACAGTATGCAGTGCAACCTTGCTGTGTGAGATTTGACATTCCTAATTATTCTAAGGCAAGAAAGAACCAGAGTGGTTTTTAAAAAATATTAATTTTGATATGGGGATATATCACTGATATATCAATATTAAAAACAACTGTAGAACACAACATTTAAAAATATCTCAAACCCAGATTTTTTTCCTTTTGCATGTCACATTTGACCCTGCTCAAGCATTTTCTGCTGACTGCCCACCATTCCCATATCTGAATAAGAAGTTTAAAAATTGTCTTGCTCATTGTCACACCTAGACAAAATAAAAGGCCTGGCTCTTCAGTAAAGGTAGCATCCATGTGTCAGTTTCCTTTATCTGTGATACATGGTGAAAGGGGTGACACGCGTACATCTGGGACATATTCCTAAATTTCATAATGAAGAAGTTGGCCAGATCTTTCTAGAGAAGATTTCAACCATCTTATCACTTTATTTGTAAATTTGTTAGTCTGTAAGGTGCCAAAGGACTCCTCATTGTTTTTACTGAATCAGACTAACATGGCTACTCCTCTGAAACCTGTCATTTTATCACTAATTTTCTTGCTGGAAGCTCATTGCCTTCATGTATAATTCAAGGGGTTGGATTATACTGTATTCAAGCTGAAGTACTGAGTCAAGAGCAGAAAATAGACAATCTGTAATTACCATAAAATAGAAGTGAGAAATGGATATGGGTTACTGAAGAACTAGGGAAAGTTTCTGTAAACATGTAATTTTATTTTTTAAAGGGAGGGGGGAGGGAGTGAACCCTAGCAACAATCTGAAACTGTTCAACTCATTTTAAGGATTTCTTTGTCAACATTGTCACCACGGAGCATTAAACTAAAATTAGTAGCTAGAGGCAGGTCCTCTTCCCTGTTCCTTTAGTAATGACAGAGCTGTTAAACTCTGCTTGAATTATAGGAGTTTATCCATAGTTCTTTACTAAAAGAGAATTAAACTTCATTTAAACAAAAATATCATTTACTTACGTGTGAGTGGATTGACTTGTGACTCATCAGTCCATTTATTTACAGTAAGGTTAAATAATTCATACAAAATAATTCATAGATCTTATTCTCTAGCAGAAAGAGACCTACAAAGTAAAGAAAATATCTTTTAATTCACTTTGATTCCCCCCCCCCCCCTTCCCCCCCCCCTTATGACATATAAAGAAAGGTTGAGGGTTTTTTTCAATTTAAGCATTTGATTTTTTAAAAGCCTTTGAAATGTCAGTCCAGGTCTTTCCTAGTGTTGGTAGATGACTCATTGATCATCTCTAGTTTTCTTTTAGTTGTTTAATACATGTTTGTGTTAAACAGATGTCAGTAAAAGCAAACTTTTAAACTGTCAGACTGAAAATTCCTTTCGTTCCCCATTGTTCAGCTTTCACTACACCCGGTTAGTCCTTAGCAAATTGTCCATAGCACAAGTGTACCTCTACAGCACAAGCTTGGCATTGTCTAGAAAACAGTATCGGCTGGTGAAGCTTGCCTTTTGCCGCCTTTTTACATTGGGTTCCAAAATTATAATTAAGGATATGGTGCAAACAACTCTTCACTTCTTTCTGACCAGCAGATACAGACTCCAGAGCATACTCACTAATCTTAATTGCTCTGTCATTTGTATCTTCCTTTGTTCCTTATCCTTGGGGTGATTAAAAATAAAACAACCCTTTCCCCCAAAAAAACAAACCTCACTTTGGGAGAGAAAGGAGGAGCATGACTATCATAGAGTTCATCCTCACACTTTTTCTTTTTTCATTAATAGTCACTTTGGGAGCAGGTTGGAGTGCATCTGGACTCCACAGGAGATGCACAAAGCCCAGGCATTTAGCAGTTCCATGGCTAGGGAATTTTCTGAAAATTCTGCACCTGGCTGCAGTATGTGAGCTTTTTACATCTACAAACGGAAAGGTTCTTGAACGGGTGTTCATGGAAGAACCCTTCAGAATATGAGCCATGTGTTACAAACTTGTGTGTGACCCAGGAATCAGTTGCTGTCTGCATGAATAATAGTTTGGGAGGTGTAAAGTGGCCCCATAAATCTAAATGGGATGTTTTACTTTGAATCATGATGACAGTGATTTAAGTGTCCATATTAGCTGTTTTATTGGGGTCATTTAAGCAGAATCACTTAGATGAAGTACTTACCCATATCTTAAGGTGCCCAAACTCCCATCAGAATCCCATTAAACTAATAAAACCTCCATTTTCCATTCACAACTTCCATACTGCAAATATAGGTTGTCAGGATAAAAATGTGTCATGTTAAAAATGAAAAATGGGGGAAATGTTATTTTCTTTATTATTTGAATGGAGCTACTGCAGAGGTTATCTGCTGTACTGGAGTTCAACATAGACTGGCAAAGTGAACATAAAATATGTTTGGAAATGAGGTTTCATACCAAAGTGTTGGAGCTGAGAGCTTAACATTCTAGGTTTCAGAGCGAGGAAAGCTCTACAAGTGAAAACCATTCAGCCGATACCACAGCGATGATCCATTGAGGAGCCTGACCTCTCCAGCTGTGGCAGGAAGTTGTCCTACTCTGGGAGTGAAGCATCCACTGTTGAATCACCCCAGTGGTGCTGTTTTTGCTGGGAAAGGACAATTTATTAGCCAGCTTCTTGAGCAGATTCTACAATTGGAAGCATGAATGATCCCTCAAAGATCGGTCATTTCCCACATGGGCTGGAAGGTCCAGCTAACTTGCTCACTCACAAGAGACAGAACACTACATATCTCCAGAAGTTCTTAAGAGGAAGCTGGACTCAGTGTTACTGATGGAGGCTTTTCTTCTGCATTGGGGTCAGTAGTAATTCTGTGCATGCCCCATGATGCTGTTGAAGCACAACGTTCATTGGAACAGAACCAAGATACTGTTGACAGCCCCAACCTGAATTTCTTGGCAGCTCTGACTCTCAGAACTTTCAGAACTGATATCAGAACCATTGAAACCTGCTTCCCAGTTAATAGAATTTCTCAAGTTGAGGTCAGAGATTCTTCAACCTAACCCTAGTTTCTCAAGCTGACGTCTTGGTTTCTGTGGTGCTAGGAGCAGTAGACTGAACGTCCTGCTAAGATCCAAAAAAATCCTTTTGGAAAGCAGGAAGTCTTCAACCAAGAGAACCTGTTTGAAGTGGGATTGATTTTCCATATTTTGAGATGTTCCGCCACCATTTTAATCTTGGACTATCAGTGACAATTGAAATAATCAAAACTCATTGAGATCAGTCAGGTTCAATGTGACCGCCATCTTTGTTTTCAGTAAGCTGATGGTCTACATTCACCCTCCAGTAACCAACTTACAGAAACACTTGCTCCATCTATTCCCTCTTGTTTGAGTCCCTTTTAACATTGGATTTGAATATTGTTCTCACAATGATCATGGGGCCTCTGTACCTTTATCAGATAATTTTCTGTGTCATCTCTCTGAATGTGGAATTAATCATGAACCCAGAAAGTTATTTGAGAGGTTGGCCTGTGGACCGACCCTTCCTACTCCATGTTCCATAAGGTAAAGGGGCTTCTGAATCCTCACTCTAAATATTTATCTAAAATAGCTCTGATTCTATTTCCATTAGGCAATTAGTCTGCCTTTATCTTTCCTCGAGTCTCATTTACATCCAAGTAGGTCAGGCTTTTAAATAATTTAAGATCCTCTCAGCAGCTACATAATTTTATAGATAAGTTCCTCCATCCTTTTTGTGCTATCTGAGGGCATGAGACTAGGGTCCATAAGTCTCAGCCCAAGTGGATCAGACTACATGCACGTAGGAGTTTACATAAACTGTGAAAAAGTCACATTTTTCATGGATTGGTCACAGCATAAATAGCAAATTTTGTAGATGTTACACAGCCACAAAATGTGCTATTTATACTGTGACCAATCTATGACAAATGTGTGATTTATCCATAGTGTTTTAAAATCGGGTCCCAACCCAAAAGAGGGTTGCAAGTATGTTGTAGAGAGAGTTGTACTAATGGTTTCCTTCCTTGTGCAGTACCTTCAGAGCTGAGTGACCAGAAAGCAGCAGTTGCTGGCCAGGCACCTAGCTCTCTGAAGGCAGAACCACTGTCAGCAGCAGCGGAGAAGTAAGGGTACAACACCATGCTGTCCTTACTTCTGCTCTGCTGTTGCTGGTGAAGCTGCCTTCAGAGCTGTATGTCCATCCAGCAACTGCTGTTTTCTGCTTTGCCTTCACAACTGCATGGCTGGAGACCAGATTGTATGGTCCATGACATGATTTTCATGGCTGCAAATTTGATAGACCTCTATCTATATGTGGTCATTATTATGATCAGTCAGGTGTTCTGGAGAAAGTGAACTTCTAGTGAGAACTGGTAGATGTGGCTGAGTGAGAGAATAAGTTATCAAGTAGACAAGTCTGTCTATCTTTGTAGCTTTCTCCATTTAGGGACACACATGCGGAGAGGGATCCAGCGTTTACTTCTTTCCCTGCATGCTTCTCGCTGCTTTTCTCTCCAGAGTCCAGGAGATATAAATCACAGAAAATGTTCTCTTTACATTCAGCATCATGCCTTTTCCTCACAGTGCTCCAGTGTCTGGTGGGTGGGAATATGGAGTAGGAGTGTAGAATGGTGGGAAAGCAAGAAAGTTGGTTTCTCCCAAGAATCTGGGGATAGTGAAAGATTATACCTCAGGAAGAAAGGCCTTATAGGCACAGGAGGAAGGAATTTGGGGACATTTTATTTTTAGCTGAGAAGAATGCCCTGCTACTCTAGTATTTATTAATTAGGTATGAGTACAAAGTGACAGTGTTTGAAACAAGTATCAGAGGGGTAGCCGTGTTAGTCTGAATCTGCAAAAGCGACGAGGAGTCCTGTGGCACCTTATAGACTAACTGAAGTGTAGGAGCATAAGCTTTCGTGGGCAAAGACCCACTTCGTCAGATGCAACGAAGTGTTTGAAACAGCTGACCCAGTGATGTGTATCAATAAGGAAACATACATTTTACCATTGAAATTACTGAAAATTATCTGTTTTTTTTTTGTAGTTAGCCAACTTCTAATATACGACTGTAGTGTATAGTTTACAATAATTTGTGCAAATTAATCAAAATATCCATGTTCTGGTCACTTACACTTTTTCTTCTTCCTCTTCTTTTGTTTTTTAAGCATTGCAGGCTGTATGTACCAAGTAGTTCAGACGACTGGGCCGGATGGAAAAAACCTTCTGAAGTTGCTTCCAATCTCTAATTCTTCTGGAAATTTTATGCCACTCGTTCAGTCATCAGTAACGCCTGATACTGCTAAAGGAAACCTATCAAGTCCAGTTCATTTTACTTTTAAGACACAGCTTGCCAATAATACCGCATCTTCATCTGTCAAGATACCTGTTTTTAGTCCCACGAATCCTGGAAAGATCATTCTTACAAGGACATTGGATAAACAGGAAAATGTTAGTGTGATCCCTGAAAAAGAGAGCTTGACTACAAAACCAGTTTCTAACACTCAGAGTAATTCTGTTTCAGTTGATAGATTGTCTTTGCAAAATGTTGCAGTGTCAACTTCATCTAACCAGAGTAACACAGCATATGTATTAGTAAACCCAAAAAGTCTTCCAGTGACTGTGAAGTCTCCTGTGTTGCCTTCTGGGCATCACCTACAGATACCAGCTCATGCAGAAGTGAAATCTGTCCCAGCTTCTTCTTTACCACCTACAGTACAGCAGAAAATACTAGCAGCTGCAGCTACAAATGCCTCTGGAGTAGCTGAAGCCACAAAAATGCCAACTGTTATTTATGTGTCACCAGTAAATACAGTGAAAACAGTCATTCCCAAGCGTTTGCAAGCCATTTGTCCAAAACCTGTTACAGAAGCAGCAGAACCGTTCATACTGACAACTGCACAATCTGTTCCACCGATAGTAACTTCTGATGGCCGACAGTGTCCAATGAAATGGGTTGTGCAAGAAAATGCCCAGGCATCAGTACCTTACCTTGTTCCCGTAAAGTCATCAAATAACATGGCTTCAAAGATCTTGAAAACCTTGGCAGATATGAAGAACGTAGAAAAAAATCCTGCAAATATTTTACAAATCTGTTCTAACAGCCCTAGTGGAAGCCAGACCAAAATCACTCCTATTAAAGATAATGCTCTGGTGATGTACAATGGGAAAGTGTATTTGCTGACTAAAAGAGGGTCTGATATTCTGTCAACCCAAGTTGACCAGCAAGCCTCTCCAGGTACTGATGCTCCTTTTAAAAAGGATGCCTCTCAGCTGATAACCAATAAAGTGGTAAATCTTGTGTTGTCAAAAAATAAAGCGATTACACTTGCCCCGAAAGATCCAACGTCAAGTATAAATACAGAACCTGTTCCGCAGCCTGATTTAAGAAAGAACTTAAAACCTGCACCCATTCTACTTCCAAAACCAAGTGTGAATCAAAATATTATTAATACAAACCAGTGCAGGCCTTTGTCCACAACAGGGGGTATTTCAAGTGAAATTAATCCGGTTAAAAAGATGGTGACAGATGAAAACATGCATTGTAACAGCAAAGAGAAGAGTCAGTTCCCCAAAGCATCAACTGCTGTTAAACCTCAGTCCAAACAACCCTGTGCTTTCAGTGAAGAACAAAAGGTAACTCTACAGAAAAATGTGCCCACAGTTATCTATGCCAGATTATCTCTACATCCTGATTCTGTGTGTCAGAAGCCGGTGTCATTCAAATACCTTTTTCTTTAAATAAGCATGCTGCCCCCCCAAACGCAATACATTTTTAATCAGTAAGATTGAATTATGCAAATGAACAAAGGTGAGAAGAGGAAAAGCTTATGTCCATGTTTGCAATGACTGTGATTTTTAATCTGGTAAAAAAAAACTAA